CCCTTTCTATTGATGTACTGGCTGGCCTGGTGGCCCGGTCCCAGGATAGGGATGTGAGTCCCATCTATAGCCCCACCGCAGTTTGGGAATCCCATCGCAGCGAAGCCATCTATGATGGCCTGCGCGTTTCCCAGGGTCACTACCTTTGACAGCAGTACCTTGACGATTGCCTTGGCTACTTGCATGACAACAACCCCCACGGTAGATTTGCCCACGCCAAAGTGGTTCGCGACTGACCGGTAGCTGTCCGGCGTTGCAAGCTTCCAGAGGGCTATGGCCACTCGCTTCTGGACAGTCAGGGCTGCTCGCATGCGGGTGTCCTTGCGCTTCAGGGCAGGGGACAGCAACTCACAAAGTTCCAGGAAAGTCCCCTTCCGCATGCGAAAGTTTCGCAGCCACTGGGATTCATCCCAGACCTGAAGCACTATGCGGTCCCACCAGTCCGTGCTTGTTTCCCGGGCCCAGAATCGCCGTTCAACAAAATCCACATGCCCCATTGCAAACGTGATGTCCTCGGCGCTGGGTGTCGTGGTTTCTGACAGCTCTGTGCTACTCTCCGACTTCAGGCCCTCACTCCGCTGCCGTAGCCTCCTCGCCTGATTTCTCTGCATCTGCCTCTGGGAAAGGTGTATGATAAGGTGCGAGGCGTTGAGAACGGCCACAACTGCAGCGATGGTCGCAGCGGGATCCATGATCGCAGTGCTGTGGCGTCCGCGCTGTCACTGATCAAAAAGTGCGCGAACTGATTTCCCGCCGGCGCTTTCAGGGAGGGAGGCAGGGCGGTAGTGACTGACGGATGACGACAGTTACCCAAAAGCACCCTCGCCACAATTTTTTACCCAGAAGCCATTGGGGGCTCGACCCAGAATTCCACTGGGCAGCGGGGACTGCGGGAACTGTGGGATAGCTGCCCACAGTGCACTGCTTCCAATGTCGACGCTTTCCCTGGTAGTGTGGACTGACAAAGTCGAATTACTGTCCTTAGTGTAGACACACACGTTCGACTTTCTAATATCGATTGCACATATTCGATTTAACTAAAATCGAACTACTCTCGTAGTGTAGACATACCCTAATTTAAGGTTTCGCGTGCCGGTAATACATTTTAACATTTTTAGAAGGTCTCTTTCTATAAGTCTATAATATATAATTAAACTATTGTTGTATGTAAAGTAAATAAGATTTTTTAAATGTTTAAGAAGCTTCATTTAAAATTAAATTAAAATGCAGAGCCCTCTGGACCGGTGGCCAGGACCCGGGCAGTGTGAGTGCCACTGAAAATCAGCTCGCGTGCCGCCTTTGGCACACATGCCATAGGTTGCCTACCCCTGCTTTAGCCTATACCCCAGGACAGGACAACTAGTTAGGGTTGAAAGCACCACTAAACTTGGGTGACAGAGTTTTGTGTGTGGAAGGGAGGAGAGTTAGGGGCAACACCTGAGTAAAAGGCCAAGTTAACTCTGCAGTGAAGACAAACTCCCTGAGTGCATCTCCTCAGGTGATAGGTACAGGCAAAAGGTCTATCTCGGGGTTGGAATCATGTGATTCTTCCACTCTGAGCCTGGGACGTGGGTACAATGCTCCATGTATAGCAACCTCTTATCACCCAATGATACAGTGACCTGCAGCCTCCTTAAAACAACATATAGCTCATGGAATGGACCACTAGAGAAAAAAATAGGATTTTAAAGTAACAAACAGCCTTCCTGCACATCTGTCCTACCTAGAGTCCTACCATCCCATACTGGTAGGCCCCAAACCTAGGTAGGCCTAGCTTCTTCAGACACCCCCATAGGTTCCTGTGTCTGAGTCTTTTCAATCTCGTGCACCCCCTTGCAGTGTCCTTGTTAACCCTCCCCCGCCCCATACACACACACACACTCCCGAGCTCTTTGTCTTGCAGGAGGCTTGGTCAAGTGTTGGTGGCTTTTGCCCTCTGGTTGAGAAAGTTTCATACCCTGGCAGGAGACTGAGTAGAGTTGTCAGAGCGAACAGTTCTGGCATTGTCCCTTTAGGACTCATAGGTGACCATCTTGAGCCATCTCCTCTTTCCTTCTGGGAACCACCCCAGAGAGACCCTTGGGGAGAAATACTTACACCAAAATATGAGTGCAGCAAACACCAGGCCAAAGTCAGGCCAGCATACAGTATTAATAAATGATTTTAGAGAGCTCCATATTCATCACTCCTGTGATTCAAAAATGCCGGTCACATTTGAAGACTCACCTAGAACAATACTGCACCCATCTGCAGAACCCATGGAATCACTGGGAACCTCTGCAGGCTCAGTTCTGGCAACAGCTGTAAACAACTGTTGAAATGCTTGGGATATTGTCATAGTCTGCAGTGGCCAGTCATTGGATGGTCATTGGCAATGAGTGGCTCTTGTCCTGCAGAAGACCGTATGCTGGAGGGAAGAGGGTAACGGGGAAGGGTGGAGAGAGAGGAGTAGTACTACAGCCCATATCTCATTGTTGTCTAGTGCGCAGAGGAACAGCTTGACTAGGCTTGTCTACCTGTCTATCTCCAGCAGGAAAGCATGCCGTTTGCAGTGGTGGGCAGCGACAAGGAATACCAAGTAAATGGCAAAAGAATCCTGGGCAGGAAAACTCCCTGGGGCGTCATTGAAGGTGAGCAGGTCCATCCTTTTGAGATGGATGTATCTACCTAGGCTCAGGCACGCAAAGCTCCAGGTACGCGGCAGAGCACTACCCCTCGCACCTATAGTTAAACATATTTTTTAATCAAAATAAAACAAAGATATTTTCAAACACCTCTGCTGAGGGGAATTGGAGCTACCACTGTGGTATCAGCAACTGGCAGGGTATTGCTGCCACTCTAGAATATGAAAGGTGCCATGTTGGGGCCCATGAGGTCACCTCACTTTTCAAGTGAACCCTCCCTTGTGGTTTTAAGAACTGACAAGCCCAATAGACTGCATGTTATGCACATATAGCACTATATGCCCTGTTTGAAATATAAGATCTGTGCCCGTCTGCCCACTGTCTTGACCACCATCCCATGCACTGTACTAATGAAGGATTTTTTTAACACCCCATTTCCCAATTTTCTCTGTTTACAGTGGAAAACCTCAATCACTGTGAATTTGCCCTACTTCGAGACTTTGTCATCAGGTGAGGCCAGCGGTTATGTAACTGTCTATTCCTGATGAGAAGGGCTACAGTACTTACTGAACGGACTTTCAGATAGAATTTCCTAGTGACGAAAGCCATGATAATGGAACAGTCTCCAAACGGATGAAAGTCATATTTCTTAAGACGATTCAAGCTGGGCTGACTACTATAGGGAACATTCTTAAATTAACTAATGGACAGGGCAACCTAGCTGATCTTTAATGTCTATGATTGCTATGCCAACAAGGGGGCTAGTTGTGATGGTGCTTGGGTGATGTGGATGGCCTGTGTGACAAGGAAATGGAGTGATATCCTCCCCCATGCCCCATTATGCAAACACACAATACATGGGAACACTTTTTAGTTGCTCCTGACTTAGGGCTGAGTTGGAATCAGTGACAAAGAGGGAAAGACTCTTCAGTCCATTTCCAATCCTCAGACCATATAATCCTCCTGATTTGGGGATGGATTAGAATTGACCAAGAGATAAAAAGCTCCATATCCTCAATCTCCAGTCCCCCTTCTCTCAAGTTCATATATAGATTGAAGCCCTTTCAGGAGAACTGACATCTGGCCGAAATTCTATGGGCAAGTCCCATAGTTTGAAGGCGCTGGAACTATGGGACCAGGGGTGCTGCCGCATCCCCTGGCTTGAAGTGGTTTCCATCATATCCAGGGTTTACAGTTTGGTTCAATGGCTCTCAGCACCCCCACTATACACATTGTTCCAGCCCCCCTGTTTGAAGGTAATCTCTATGCCCTATAGACTAACAAGGTAGGTTTTTTTAAGAAGCCCAATGTAAATATACATCAAAGTTAAAAACCAATCCCCTGTATGCTTCCTGTTGTCATGGTGTTTTGGCATCTGGGAGTGATGAACCCTCAGATTGTGACACAGTGATGTCATGGTGACATTACAATATTGCATTGTTTGTCCCTCACAACAAATTCCTAATGCTGGTACCACCTAGCTGTCACTGTTGGGCTTTCCCCAAATCTTTCAATAAAAGGTGGTCATTAAACAATGGTGGTCAAAGCCCAGGCGTTTTCTGGCAGTTAATGACTGGTTGGAAGGAGTTGTGGCTGTGGGGACTCTTCCGGGGGGCTGGTGACGACAGCACAGCTACTGTGGGCTCCACTGCACAACTGACCAGATGCATCATGGGCAGGGCCGGCTCCAGGCACCAGCCGAGCAAGCTGGTGCTTGGGGCGGCAGATTGTTCGAGGCAGCATTCCGCCCAATCCTAGGGCGGCACAGCCGCTTTTTTTTTTTTTGTTCTGCTCTGGCCGCCCTGTAGGGGGCAGAGGACGGGAGCGGCCTGCAGCAAGTCCGGCAGGGCAGCCCGCGTCCTTCCCTCTCAGCCGACCGGAGCGGCGCGGAGCTTCCTGTCCCCCTGCACCCTGGCTCCGGCCGCACCGCAGGTTTTTTTTTTTTGCTTTGCTTTGCCATTCTGGACGCCCCGGGTTTTTTTTTTTTTTTTGCTTGGGGCGGCCAAAAAGCCAGAGCCGGCCCTGATCATGGGGAAGTTTTATCTTCTTTGACGCATCATGTATTAACTGCTGCTGGAAGACTGATGAACCAGATGTCTTAACTGATACAGCAGGATGCAGAATAGCTGACTCAATGGACCATTGATTGGTCTGATCTGGTGTAGCAGGAGATGGCATACTGCACTGGTGAGGCCAATGATCTGAGCCAGTGTGACATCCTGTGTGCCTATTTTATTTTGCTGACTGATGCAGTTTCAATTGGCTAATGTATTATGGCCTCCATAAAAAATGAATGTCCTGTTCATTGGCCAGCCAGATTGGAGAAACCGTCCCATTTATCTTAGGAAATAAAATAGACCCAGAAAGAATAACATTGACCCAGCTGATTATTTTTCTTATCCTCCTTCTCTCTGTCTCCTGCAGGACCCACCTCCAAGACCTAAAAGAAGTGACGCACAACATCCACTATGAGACCTACAGGGCCAAGCGGCTGAATGACAACGGGGGGCTCCCCCCGGTGACCGCCGAGACAGAGGAGAACCACGAAAGTAATCTGTGAATCACTCCTCCCACTGTTTGGATATTACAACCCGTCCCAGCTACCCTTGACTTTACTGTAGGCCTGTCTTCAAAGCATGTGGCACATCCTCTGTGTGTGTGTATGGGAGAAGGAGCAGGGGCATACCTTTCTCCTTCCTAGAATGTCGTCATTCTTGTTTTTTTGCACAGCAGGCTGTTTGTTGTCTTCCCCTCTCTCGTGTTCTGTGGTTCAGTTGCGTGTCTTGGTTGTGGGAAGTAGCGGAGGGAATGCTGGGAGATTTGATTTCTGGGGTTTGGGGTGTTTGGAGAGGATGACTTGGTTCTGTGTTTGCACATTTGAAAAGCATAGAAAGACTCCAAGGACAGACAGATTGATCAATGAGCACAGTGCCTTCTGAATGGTGGTGGCATCGGAGAACCTCTTCCTGCATGTGAGTGGAGTTCCCTGGTGTGGATGGGGAAGGTAGGCGGTTGATTAGGGGGAGTGATAGGTGGCTATGGCATATCCCCTTTTTTCTCACTGAGGCCTGTTAAAAAAGGGAAGGGGGCGGGGTTAGTGTAATTTGTGTCTGGGAGGAGAGATATTATCATATTTTCCAGTCCATGTTCTAACTGGAAGATGGGTGGTGGTGGGAAGTGAGCACAAATTAGATCTTGGACCTTAGGGTTTCATTGTAAGCTCTAGAAGCTGTTGTTTTACCTTCCCATCACAGGTGTCTGGGAGCGGAGAGACAACGAAAAACCAGGAACACTAATTGAGGGACAAATCCTGAGGTCTTCACTCAGGGCCAAATAGTGGCATTTAGCCACTGCCCTGGAATTGGCAGGGTATCTCCCTACCCCAGCAGGCAGGGGGCCTGGGTAGGCTGCCCCATCTTCTAGGATACTTCAGCTTACACATGACACACAGGGTAGGCTCCTTGTGTAGTCACCCATGCAGGGGCCACCCATAATCTGGCCCCCAGGAGTTTACTCAGGCAGAACTCTCAACTAAGCAAATGGGCCAAGCCCTTAGTCCTCACTCAGTTTTTACCCAGTATTTACTTGGACAAACTTGTCTCTGAAGCCATGGGAGATGTGCCTAAGTAAAAAAATGAATGAGGGCCTTGGAATGTGCCCTAGAGTTAATCGCTTGAAACTAAGCCAATACCAGTAAGCATGAGTTGCACGTACTAATGTGAACATGAGACCATCCCTTCTTCTTTCCTTAGCACAAAGAGCTGGGTTCACTGGAACTAGCTCATGGACAAACTGGGCAGAATTTTGGCTGGCCTGCTGGTCTTGGGTCAAGTGATCCCCTCTACACCCACCAGTTCTCGGCACACTCTCACTAGTTAGTTATTGAGGACGTCAGAGGATGTATAGAGGGGGAGAAATATGTGCTAAGGGAGGGTGAATGAGAAGGGAAAAGGGACGTTGACAGCAGAGAGGAAATCATCTTTCCCAGGACTGGAGTGAGTTTCCACACAAGAATACCTCCTAATTCTGTTGGGAAACATCATGGGATCCCTTTATCTGCTGTATAGGATTCTGCTTTTAGGGAAGGAAGAGAGAAAAATACACATGACTCTTGCCCCCCCCGGCCAGGGCCACCCATTTTTGACAGTGCTGGAGGATACCAGTCCTTGAGCAAGTGAGAACTGTGGATACCTTGTGAGGTTCCTCGCAGATTTTCCACACTGGGAACCTTTCCACTGGCTTACCCTGGGGCCCAGAGCCTCTACTGTGCTTTTAGATCCTTTGGGATGAAATGTGGGCATTATAGAGATATAAAGTTCATATCTTATTTAATTGCTTTATGAAGAAATGCTTTTTAATCCCCTGGATTTCTAGCACTAGGGATCCCTTTCCCCTTCCCAGTCACAGCTATATCATTCTCCAGCTGTCAAACAAACATGGTCAGTCTCTGCACAGCTTCCAGATGTGAATCGCGACTGCTTTATCAGTTCCCCCTCTGATCATCCAGGAGACGGCCTGGTATTTGATTAAGGGACTTGTCTCTTTCTCAGCACTGAGCCTGAGCCCTAGATTAGGGGTAGATGTAGTCACTGAATGGTTATATTAGTTTTCTTAACACTAAGGCCTCTACTTTGTATTTTACCTGTGGAGAAACAGCATTACATAAGAACATAAGAATGGCCCTACTGTGTCAGACCAAAGGTCCATCTAGTTCAGTATCCTGTCTTCCGACAGCGGCCACTGCCAGGTGCCCCAGAGGAATGAACAGTGATCCATCTCCTGTCGCTCATTCCCAGCTTCTGGCAAACAGGCTAGGGACACCATTTCTGCCCATCCTGGCTAATAGCCATTGATGGACCTATCCTCCATGAATTTATCTAGTTCTTTTTTTAACCCTGTTATGGTGTTGCACATCACAACATCCTCTGGCAAGGAGATCCACAGTTGACTGCGTTGTGTGAAGAAATACTTCTTTTATTTGTTTTAAACCTGCTGCTATTAATTTCATTTGGTGACCCCTAGTTCTTGTGTTATGAGAAGTAGTAAACAACACTTCCTTATCTACTTTCTCTACACCAGTCATGATTTTATAGACCTCAATCATATCTCCCCTTAGCCGTCTCTTTTCCAAGCTGAAAAGTCCCAGTCTTATTAATCTCTACTCATACGGAAGCCGTTCCATACCCCTAATAATTTTTGTTGCCCTTTTTTGAACCTTTTCCAATTTCAATACATCTTTTTTGAGACGGGTCGACCACATCTGCACACAGTATTCAAGATGTGGGCATATCATGGATTTATACAGAGGCAATATGATATTTTCTGTCCTATTATCTATCCCTTTCTTAATTATTTCCAGCATTCTGTTCGCTCTTTTGACTGCCACTGCACATTGAGTGGATGTTTTCAGAGAACTATCCACAATGACTCTAAGATCTCTTTCTTGAGTGGTAACAGCTAATTTAGACCCCATCATTTTATATGAATAGTTGGGATTGTGCTTTCCAATGTGCATTACTTTGCAATTACAAAAATTAAATTTCATCTGCCATTTTGTTGCCAGGTCACCCAGTTTTGAGAGATTCTTTTGTAGCTCTTTGCAATCTGCCTGGGTCTTAACTATCTTTAGTAATTTTGTATCATCTGCAAATTTTGCCACCTCACTGTATACCCTTTTTTCTAGATCATTTATGAATATGTTGAATAGGACTTGTCCCCATACAGCCCCCTGGGGGACACCACTATTTACCTCTCTCCATTCTGAAAACTGACCATTTATACCTACCCTTTGTTTCCTATCTTTTAACCAGTTACCAATCCATGAGAGCACCTTCCCTCTTATCCTGTGGCAGTCTACTCTGGTAAGAGCCTTTGATGAGGGACCTTATCAAAGGCTTTCTGAAAATCTAAGTACACTATATCCACTGAATCCCCTTGGGCCACATGCTTGTTGACCCCCTCAAAGAATTCTAGTAGATTCATGAGGCATGATTTCCCTTTTCTAAAATCATGTTGACTCTTCCTCAACAAATTATGTTCATCTATATGTCCGACAATATTGTTCTTTATTATAGTTTCAACCAGTTTGCCCGGTACTGAAGTCAGGCTTACAGGCCTGTAATTGCCAGGATCACCTCTGGAGCCCTTTTTAAAAATTGGCGTCACATTAGCTATCCTCCAGTCATCTGGTACAGAAACTGATTTAAATGATAGGTTACAGACTACAGTTAAGTATCAGAGGGGTAGCCGTGTTAGTCTGGATCTGTAAAAGCAGCAAAGAGTCCTGTGGCACCTTATAGACTAACAGACGTATTGGAGCATGAGCTTTCACCCACGAAAGCTCATGCTCCAATACGTCTGTTAGTCTATAAGGTGCCACAGG